ACTCAACCGAGCAGAAGAAATAGATGAAGTTTTTTGTAAACAATTAACAAATGTACATAGGAAATATATCACAGTAGTAATGGGAGACTTTAACTACTCTGATATCAACTGGGAGACAAACTCTGCAACCAGAGTTTGTCTCCCAGTTGATTCCTAACCAACCGAGCTGACAACTTTGTCATCCAAAAGATAGAGAGAGGAATTAGAGGAAAAGCTATATTGGACCTAATTCTTACTAATAGAAGTAGTTGAAGTTGCCAGAACTTTGGACAAGAGTGACCATGTTAAATTGGAATTCAATATAATGCAAACACAAGCAATAGAATATAATCCAGCCAGTGTCTTAAACTTCAAAAGAGCTGATTTTAACAAACTCAGAGAGAGTCTAAGAAAAAAAATCCATGGATGAAAATCCTAAACGGGAAAATAACTCAAGAAGCATGAGAAACTCTGAAAAATATGATCATAAAAGCCCAGTCCAGCACAATACCATTGAAAAAGAAAAACAAGAAATCCAAGAAGAAACCAGCATGGTTGCACAAAGATTTCTTTGGCAAACTGAAAGACAAAAAGGACAAGTACAAAAAATGGAAAGAGTGACACATAACTAAGGCAGAGTATCAGCAGATAGCCCAAATCTGCAAAGATGATGTCAGGAAAGCAAAGGCTCAGAATGAACAAAGATTTGCAACAAAAGTCAAAGATATTAAAAATAGTTTCTTTCAACATATAAATAACAAGAAAAAGTCAAGGAAACAGTAGGTTCACTTAAAAGAGAAGATGGCAAGGAAGTAACACACATAGTAGAAAGCACAGCAACAAGACCCAAAGATGCTTTTCAAAAGCCAACTGGACTTTTTTTTATTTTTTTTCCTTTGAAGGTATTGCTTCTCATCCAAGAAGTCTCCTCAGAACTGAAGAAGCTTCTTCAATGAGAAGCCAAATATCTTCAAAAGGAAAAAAAAAACCCTCCCAGAATTCTGAAGAACTGAAGCAGCTTCTTGGATGAGAAGTGAAACGTCTTCAAAGAAAAAACAAGAAAGCCCAGTTGCCTTTTGAAAAGCACCTTTGAAACAACCATGACCTGAATCACTGAGAATCTCCATAGACAAGTTCTAGGACATTATTTGAAGGGATCAAAAAGCAATATTATAAAAGTACAGGGAAGGGATATGGAGTTGGATGTCTAGGGAGATTCTCAATCATCCAGGTGATGGGTGTCCCAAAGGTGCTTTGTCAAAAGGAAACTGGACTTTCTTGGTTTTTCCTGGAGTAAGAGGTGGCAGAGAGAAAGTAGCAGGCAGCAGAGAGAAAGCAAAACTGCTTAACTCATCTTTCCATCAGTCTTCATGCAAAAAAAAGCCCAATCTACCAAAAACCTAACTGTAAAAGACAGACTAGAAATAAAAATCACAATAAGCAAGAAAATGGTTAGAGAACACCTATCTGATCTTCATAAATATAAATCACTGGAACCTGATGGATTACATCCCAGAGTTCTGAAGGAACTGGCAGATGTTATTTCAGAACCATTGTATCTTTAAAAAATCTTGGAACACGGGGGAACTACCAGAGAATTGGGAAAGATCTGATGTGGTTCCCATCTTCAAAAAAGGGAAAAAAACAGACCCAGGAAACTACAGACCAATCAGCCTAACATCAATACCTGGAAAGATACTGGAAAAGATAATAAAAAAACAGATATGCGAATATCTAAAAACAAATAAAGTTATAACTAGAAGCCAGCATGGGTTTGTTAAAAATAGATCATGCCAAAGCAATCTGATTTCATTATTTAACAAAGTGATTAAATTAGTAGACCAGCAAAATGTTGTGGACATAATATACTTAGACTTCAGCAAGGCATTCAACAAAGTAGACCATAACCTACTTCTTGGTAAGCTAGAAAAATGTGAGATAGACAACATCACCACCAGATGGATTTGTAACTGGCTGAGAAACTGTACTCAATGAATAGTTCTATATGGAGGAAAGTAAGCAGTAGGATACCATAAGGTTCTGTCTTATGCCCAGTACTCTTCAATATTTTCATAAATGACTTAGATGAGGGAATAAAAGGATGAGGAATCTCATCAAATTTGCAGATGACATTAAACTGGCAAAATAGCCAACACTCCAGAAGACAAGCTCAGGATCCAAAAAGATCTTGACAGACTTGAACAATGGACCCTATCCAACAAAATGAAATTTAATGTGGAAAAAAGCAACATTTTACATTTAGGCAGGAAAAATCAAAGGTTTAAATACAGATTAGGCGAGACCTGGTTCAAAAACAGCAAATGTGAGAGGGACCTTGGAGTCCTAGGGGATGATCACTTGACTATGAGCCAACAGTGTGCAGCAACAGCCAAAAAAGCTAATACAGTCCTGGATTGTATAAACAGAGGCATAGAATCAAGATCGCACGAAGTATTAGTACTGCTTTATAAAACCCTAGTGAGACCACACCTGGAATACTGCAACCAATTTTGGTCACTATACTACAAAAAAGATGTTGAGACTTTGGAAACAGTACAGACAAGAGCAACTAAGATGATCAAAGGCCTGGAGATTAAAACATATGAAGAACGGCTGCAGGACTTGGGTTTGGCTAGTCTAAAGAAAAGAAGAAATAGGGGTGATAGATAGCAATATTCAGTATTTGAGGGGCTGCCACAAAGAAGAGGGGGTCAAATTATTCTCCAAAGCACCAGAGGGCAGGACAAGAAACAATGGTTGGAAACTGATCAAAGAGAGAAGCAACCTGGAATTAAGGAGGAACTTCCTAACAGTGAGGACAATTAACCAGTGGAACAGTTTGTCTTCAGAAATTGTGGGCACTCCATCACTGGAGGTTTTTAAGAAGAGACTGGACAGTCACTTGTCTGAGATGGTATAGGTTCTCCTGCTTGAGCAGGGGGCTGGACTAGAAGACCTCCATGGTCCCTTTGTATTCTATTCTAATCTAATCTATTCTATTCTGTTCTGTTCTGTTTCGTTTCATTTCTATTCGTTTGTTAAAAACAGATCATGCCAGAAAATCTTATTGCCCTTTTTTTTTTACAATGTCACATAATTAGTGGACCAGCTAAATGCTGTAGATATAATTTACTTGGACATTTGATAGGCATTTGATAAAGTAGATCACAACCTATTATTTGATAAGACAGAAAAATGTGGATTAGAGCAGATGGATTTGTAACTGGCTGAGCAACTACATTCAATGTGTAGTCCTTAATGGAAATGCATCTACATGGAGAGAAGCATGCAGTGGGGGACCTCAAGATTCTGTCTTAGGCCCAATACTATTCCATATCTTCATAAATGATTTAGATGAAAGAATAGAAGGGGAACTCATCAAATTTGCAGGTAACACCAATCTGACTGGAACAGCCAACACTCCAGAAAATAGGATCAAGATACAAAAGGATCCTGACAAACCTGAATACTGGGCCCTATCTAACAAAATGAAATTCAGTGGTGATAAAGTAAGTTTTACACTTAGGCAAAACAAAAACAAAAAAACCCAAATGCACAGTATAGAATAGGTAGTTCCTGGCTCAATAATAGTAACTGTGAAAAGGATCTTGGATCTATATATGAGTCAGCGGTGTGCTGCAGCTGCAAAAAAGCTAACATAGTCATAAGCTGTATTAACAAGGGATAGAATCAATATCATATGAAGTGTTAGTGCTACTTTATAATGCCTTGATAAGACCACATTTGGAATATTGCATGATATAAAAAAGATGTTGAGACTCAGAAAGAGTGCAGAGAAGAGCAATAAAGATTATTAGGGGACTGGAGGCTACAACAAACGAAGAATGGTTGCAGAAATTGGGTATGTCTAGTTTAATGAAACGAAGGACTGGGGTGACATGATAACAGTGGTTAACCTATTCTCCAAAGCACCAGAGTGCTAGGAGCAGCTAAAATCCTGTGCAGAACCCTCAAATTCCCATACCTCTAGTAGAGGACCCACTGTTGAGGAAAACATGTACCACCCATAAGGGCGAGAAATGAATTTTTTATATATTGTTGTGTTGTATCTAGAAAAAAAAGTGGAATAACAACTAGAACAAGTCTCATGGTTTCTTTGATGCTATGTCAATTTAATATGACAAGAGAAAAAAGATGGAATTTGCAAACAGATATCTATCAATTTTTGAAATTTTTTTTCACAAAAGATAATGGCATAATTTCAAAGTTTTATTAGATTTTAAAAGAAATTATGGTGAATTTATCTCAGGGCTAAAATGAGTCTGTGATTCAGGTGAAACAATGAAGCAATAACATTTGGCAATCTCTATTCAGCATCAATAATTTGTTTATGAGTATCCATGCAGGAATTACATCTGAAAATTTACAATAGTAAATAAGAATCTCACATATATCTTTTCAATATCCAGTGAGAAGTTGGGAAAATATAGATGAGGCCGAGGAGATGGAAATCAAAGAGAATATTCTTTTATCTTTGGTGAGAATGCAATAAAATATTGGAATTTTGGAAGAATGTTCTTAAAAAATGTCTGACACAAAATAATAACCATCAAATATGCTAGATATCTTTGATGGGCAGAATAAGAAATAAAAATAAGAATAAGAAATAGCATACATGTCATACCAAAGATGGAAGAATGTTATCTAACCTGTCCTTTATATAAAAAATAGGCAGAGTGAAAAAGAGGGGATAGTTCCTCATCCCCATCTATATCTTACTACTTATTTGGGATCAGGGGCTCATGAAAAGATAATGCCACTGGTTTTGGACCTCCAATGCTCTAATCCAGGGGTCTTCAAACTTGGCCCTTTTATAGACTTGAGGACCAACTCCCAGAATTCCTCAGCCAGCTTGCCTGGCTGAGGAATTCTGGGAGTTGAAGTCCACAAGTCATAAAAGGGCCAAGTTTGAAGATCCCTGCTCTAATCATATGCAGCACTTCCAACAAGTAATAGTCAAAACAAACAGACAAGAATCCATTAATTCTAGTAAGGTTCACCTTTCTGGCATTTCTTCACAGCTTCTTTCTGACCTAGAATAACTTCCATGTGGAATGCATAGCAATGGTTTCGGAAAGGAACCCAAGAGGAATCTTCTATTGTTTTAGGACAACTTCCATTGTAGCTCCACTTGTGTGAAGAAAGGGGTCCTGAAGTAGAATACTTGGTTAGAAGAAACTTAGCAAATACTTACATTGGTATTAGTCATTAAAAACAAATGACAAAATGTTTTTTTTTCTGACCCCTTCATTAAAATTCAGGGGATGAGAGAAGAGAGTCTTTATTTCAGCATTCCTTCCTCTATCTGTATAGCTATCATACAGGTAAATTACCTGTGTTCAACTTGCAGATGGCCCCTTGAAGCTTTGTGTCACAAGCGGCAGTTCGCCATGTTCCATCTATATCCATGTATGCACACCCCACAATTTGTTGTGGTTCTCCATCTTGCCAGTTTGTGTAGGAGACAGTCTCATCTGCAAACCATCCATAATTACGTTTACCCTAAAAAAAGTTAATACATATAAAGTTTTGCCACACTGGACTGATCAATCTCACTACAAAATATTTGATGTCATATATTTATAATTATGCTATATTGAATGATCCTCACATGCACTACAGGATCACACTGTTAATATTTCTCTATAGGAGGTTTTGGAAATGTGAACCAGTCAGCATTCAATACTTCCTTATAGATTCACCATTTGCTATTCCAGAGCAATGATTTAGCCAACACATAAACTCAGACAATGTCAGACCCCTAGATATGCTTTCATTTTTTGCATCTACTACATGCAAGGCAGGTTTGATTTACATGCTATGATTTCTAAATATAGTTGACTCACCTCTTCATTGGACAAACCAATCCAGAGTGGGGTATGTAAACTGCTGACTACCTGAGTGAGGAAGGCCTGGGTGAATGGTTCTAGCACATTTGCTAGACTTCCATTGAGACTCTCACATAACAACACAGCTTCATGCCATTTGAGCGGCTTCATCAGGACACGGTAAGTATTGTTAAGATATGAAAGGGTAGAGTTGAGAATAGGAGAGGACGGTGAAGAAGGGTTTAGAGTAGGGTCTTGGATGTGGGGGAAGAATTTGAGAAAAATAAAATAAAAGCTCAGTCACACTTTACAAATATATCCTAGAGCCATTAACAAAGCAATATTGATTTTATTCAAAAATTAGTAGCAATTTGCTGAATATCAAGTAGTTTCTTAGTGTTTACTCCATTTCACTAAAAACAGTGGTTATTTTCTTATCATTTCTGTGAAATAGAACTTTAGTTCTTCCTGGAAGCCACTGTATAAGGATAGTGGGAGAACCAAGATATATCTATAGATACTAATTAATTTAATTCTTTAGCTAGGAAACCTTACTCCTCCTCTATGTAGTTTGACCAGGATAAGGCAGATGAGGATAAACGAGAGAAGAACGTTAACCTCACTATTCTACTTCTGACCCTTGTTAAAGACTGTTTTCTCATTGTTAATAAAAATGAGGATGGATGTATCTGTTCCCTATCTTATTTAATCAGTTGGAGTAAGGAAAACTGGATAGAACTCCTGCATCAGATACATGCTGCAGAGAGAAATCAAGGGCCATAGCATCCTGAATAAGTGCTCACCAAAATAGCATCTTCAACACTAATGGGCTTTGGCAATAAACAAATTAAGAGTCAGGAAGCATTTTTAAGACTAATCAATTTTATTGGGGCATATTCTATGATGAGAAGCAGCAGCTTTTATGAACATGCATGTAATTGATGAACAAAATTGCTGCTCATGAAATCATATGCCTCAAGTTAGCCAGTCTTGAAGGTGCTACCAGATTCTTGTATCTGCGTTGTTGCCACAGACTAATGTAATTCTTCCTCCCTTGTGCACAACAGATATGAATGCCATCATCCCTGGCACAAGGAATCAAAATTATCACAAGCCCTCTCTGCTAAGCATAACAAGCCAATCTTATTTTCTTCCATTATTCCTCTTACCTTTGCTTCTCTGGCAGATAAAAATATGTTTCTCCTCTTGGCAGTTCCTATCATCCCAACGCCCTGTAAACAGGGAAGGGAGGCCATGCCACATTACAGCACAGTTGGTCTATGAAAAATAGAACCAGGAAAATCAAAATCATACACCTGCAATCACAATGAGACGGTAGCTATCAAATAACATCAAGAATTGTCTAAGCGTCTGCTGGTTTATGACCAAATAAATATTTATTTGATTAATGGATTGTGTCCACACTGAATTGTCCAATTCTTGTCTTACGATTATTGCAACATGTCACATATGAAACTGCTCTTGGCAACTATTACAAGTCTATAGGCAAAGCAGAACAGACAATGGGTTCCAGAGAAACACAAAAGCAAGAAACACACTAAACATTAAACCACGTTGTGATTTTCACATAGCTTATTATACCTGAATAATAATCATATTGTGGAATAAATAAGCGTGATAGTTTAGTATACACAATATGCTGACCCAATAACCTGATTCCTGCAATATGTCAAATCACAAACTATCCTATTCAATTTTAGTTCATGCTACATGAACCCAGCCAAGCTGCTACTTCATCTTTACCAAACTTTGGAACTCATTGCTATTGATAGTAGTCCTCGACTTAAGATCACAATTGGGCCTGGAATTTCGGTTTCAAGTCATTGTAGTAGTTAAGTTAGGTGCCCATATAACCACTTAATTCCACAACTGCAATCCCAACACTTTCAGTTGTAGATACTAAGTGACTACATTGGTCATTAAATAGACAGAGGAGAATAATAGAATAACAGAGTTGGAAGGGGTCTTGGAAATCTTCTAGTCCAACTCACTGCTAAAGCAGGAGACCTTATACAGTACCATTTCAGACAAATGATTGTCCAATCTCTTCTTAAAAAGAAAGAGCTGCCTGCCAAAAGAGGGCAAAAAAGAATTTCTGCATTGGGTCATGCAAAAAAAGATCCCAAAGATTAAAGTTTTGTTTCTTCAGCCCGCTACAGGCCTTCCCCTCCTTTCCATGTGAAGAAGGGAAATACCTCACTGGGGTGAAAAAAGGTAGAATAAAATAGAATGGAATAGAATGGAATGGGAATGGGAATGGGATGGAACAGGAACAGAAATAAGAACAGGAACAGGAAAAGGAACAAGAACAGAATAGGACAAGACAGGACAGGACAGGACAGGAATAGAATAGAATAGAATAGAATAGAATAGAATAGAATAGAATAGAATAGAATAGAATAGAATAGAATAGAATAACAGAGTTGGAAGGGACCTTGGAGGTCTTCTAGTCGAACCCCCTGCTTAGGCAGGAAACCCTATACCACTTCAGACAAATGACTGTACAATCTCTTCTTAAAAACTTCCAGTGTTGGAGCATTCAAAACTTTTGGAGTCAAGTTGTTCCACTGATTAATTATTCTAACTGTCAGAAAATTTCTCCTTAGATCTACGTTGCTTCTCTTCTTGATTAGTTTCCATCCGTTGCTTCTTGTCCTGCCCTCATATGCTTTGGAGAATAACCTGACTCCCTCTTCTTTGTGGCAGCCCCTGAGATATTGGAACACTGCTATCATGTCCTCCCTCGTCCTTCTCTTCATTAAACTAGACATACCCAATTCCAGCAGCCGTTCCTTATATGTTTGAGCCTCCAGTCCCCTAATCATCTTTGTTGCTCTTCTCTGTACTAACTTGTGTTTCTAATCTATTTTTATGGTACTGTTTTGGATAGGCTGGACTGTTTTTTCCCTTTGTGTAAAGACAGATGCAAAAAATGAGTTAAATAGTTCTGCTTTCTCCCTGTTGCTTGTCACCTTCTTGCCCTTTCCCCCACTAATGGACCAATCATTTCCTAACCTTTTTCTTGTTTTTTACATGTTGAAAGAAGCTTTTTTTGTTATTTTTTACTTTGGTCGCAAGCCTTAGTTCATTTTGAGCCTTAGCTTTCCTCACTTCATCTTTGCAGGCTCGGACTGTTTGCTGATATTCTGCTTTAGTTATGTGCCCCTCTTTCCACTTTTTATACTTGTCCTTTTTATCTTTCAATTTATCAGAGAGTTCTTTATGCAGCCATGCTGATTTCTTTTGAGAGCTGTTATTTTTCTTCATTGGTATTGTGCTAGACTGGGCCTTTATTATTATCTCACTTTTTAAAATTTCCCAAGCTTCTTGAGTTGTTTTCCCCATGAGGATTCTCTTCCATGGAATCCTTCCCAAGCTCTAAGTTTATTGAAATTAGCTGTCTTAAAGTCCAAGACTGTAGTTTAACTGTGTTCTATTTCTTGTGCTTCCATAATGTTGAATTCCAATATTGCATGATCACTTCCCCCCAAGGTTCCTGTGGCTTCAACACCTTCTATCATTTCATCTCTGTTAGTGAGGATTAGATCCAATATGGCTAATCCCCTAGTTCTCTACTTTTTGGCAGGCAAAGTTGTCTGCTAGGTTTGTCAGGAATCTGTTTGATCTTCTACTTGGTGCAGAGTTTGTCTCCCAGTTGATGTCAGGGTAATAAAAGTCCCCCATTACTATTGTGATGTGCTTCCTACATACCTTAGTTAGCTGACTAGCAAAAAGTTAATCTATTTCCTCTGTTTGGTTGGGTGGCCTATAGCGTACATCTATGGCAATGCCATTCCCCCCCCTTTTATATTGACCCAAATGCATTCAAGACAGTTTTCATCATTGTTGTGCTCTATTTCTGTAGAGATGTAGTTATTTCTTATATAGAGAGCAACTCCACCTCCTCTTTTATTTGGTCTGTTTCTTTTAAATAATTTAAATCCATCTAGTTGTGAGTTCCATTTGTGAGTTTCATCCCACAAAGTTTCCATAATGGCAACAATATCATATCTGCCCTAATTTACCTGAATTTCTAGTTCACCCTGTTTATTGTTCATATTCTGTGCATTGGTGTAAAGACATTTGAGTCCTTTATGACTGACCCTGTGTTTACTTCCTACATAACCTGTGTGGTGCCTGAGTTCCCCTATTTTTTTACCACCTGTTTGATTAGTGCACTTTGATTTTGCTTGACAGCAAGGTTGCTATTCTTGTCCACACACACATCTATGTTACATGCACTGCTAACCCTGTAATTTTTTGATTGCCGGGGACAGGGATGTTCTGTATCAATTAACTCACTGTCCCTGTTGTTTAGTTTAAATATTCCTCCAGAAAATCTGTGAGTTTTTTGCCAAGTAACTCAGTCCCTTTTGTACATTGTTTCATTGGACCAGCTACAGACATTGTGACTAATATAACCAAAGCCTTCCCCTCTACACCACTCCTTTAACCACATATTGAATTCTGCTATACACTGGCCTTTTCCATTTTGCTCCTTATACACTGGTAAAACTTCTGAAAAAGTAAGCCTACAGCCTATCCTGCTAAGTTCCTGCCCCAAGCTCTGGAAATCATTCTGCACAGAGAGTACATCTTTTGGGGAAAGATCGTTAGTGCCAAGATGTACAATAGCATCCACATCACAATCCTTGCTGGCATTCTTTATTATTTTGAAAATACGCTTCTTGTCTCTACTGCCAGTAGCACCTGGAAGACACCTGACCTCTTTCGAAACCTCTGTGTCCTTTCCTAAATTTACATCTCTTATAATTGAATCCAACAGAAGGTGGCTTCTCTTTTCGGATGCCTTTCTGTTCTTGCATGACTAATGTGTAATACCTCATTTGCACTTCTCCCTGCCAAAACAAGTTCTTCATCTCGGACCACGATCGTCTGCTTATTTGAGTTATCATCACAAATACCTTTACTGTCTCCTTAATGTCCCTATTAAGGTCAGCAAGGGCATTGTATCTATTGTGCAGGGACACAGCGAAAGCTTTGTGTTTCTGGTTCACAGCTCTCATTCTGCCAGATCCTACAGTTGTCTATACTGTCCTTTTCTTGCAGGATCTTTGTGGTAGAGGGGGCTCAATAGAGTAGAAGGGCTGAATTGAACACCTAATTTCTGCCTGAAGAGCACAGATTACAGACCCTAGATAAATAATCTGTCCTTGTAGACTTCACTAAACAAATGTCTATCCTGTCATTCCAAGTTTGAAAAGAGTACTGCGAAAGACATCTGCAAAACAAGTGTTGCACTGAACTAAGCCAGACATTCTGAGATATGAGGAATCTCAGAAGCACTTGCCCTAAATGTACCGCTACTGTTTTTGATTTTTAGTTATATGATTCGTACGCTGTTAGGTGTGCGGGCCGCTATTTTCCTCCTCCCCCCTCCTCCTTTTTAACTCACAGTTTGTAGCTCTTCCCAGCAAGCTCTGGGCAGTTTAAATGCAATGGAAGTCCAATCAGCAGGGCCTCAGCTACTTTCCTCCTCCACCCTCCTCCTTTTTAACTCACAGTTTGTAGCCTTCTATCATTTCATCTCTATTAGTGACAATTAAGTGCAATATGGCTAATCCCCTAGTTCCCTTCTCTACTTTTTGGCAGGCAAAGTTGTCTGCTAGGTTTGTCATGAACCTGTTTGATCTTCCACTTGGTGCAGAGTTTGTCTCCCAGTTGATGTCGGGGTAGTTAACGTTCCCCATTACTATTGTGATGTGCTTCCTACATACCTTAGTTAACTGACTAGCAAAAACTTCATCTATTTCCTCTGTTTGGTTGGGTGGCCTATAGTATACACCTATGGTAATGTCATTTCCCCCCTTTTATATTGACCCAAATTTATTCAAGACAGTTTTCATCATTGTTGTGCTCTATTTCTGTAGAGATGCCGTTATTTCTTATATATAATGCAACTCCACCTCCTCTTTCATTTGGTCTGTTTCTTTTGGATATTTTAAACCCCTCTAGTTGTATGTTCCATTTATGAGTTTCATCTCACCAAGTTTCCACAATGGCAACTATATCATATCTGCCTTCATTTACTTGAATTTCTAATTCACCCTGCTTATTGCTCATACTCTATACATTGGTGTATAGACATTTGAATCCTTTTTTTGACTGACCCTGTGTTTACTTTCTATATCAGAGGTCCTGAACCCCCGGTCTGTGGACCAGTACCGGGCCATGGCATGCCAGCAACTGGTCCGCACAAACAACCAAAGCCCCATCCGCATGATGCAGGCAGCACACAAAACCATGCAGCCTCTGGTCTACAGAAAAACCCCTCTCCATGGAACTGGTTCCTGGTACCCAAAAAGTTGGGGACCTCTATTCTATATAACCTGTGTGGTACCTGAGTTTCCCTACTTCCTTACCACCTGTTTGATTAGTCTTGGTATGGAACTATAACTCAGTCCCTTTCTTTGACAGATGCAGACCATCTCTTTTGTACAGTTTTTCATTTAACCAGCAGTAGACATCATGACTAATATAACCAAAGTCTACACCACTCCTTTAGCCACACATTGAACTCCGCTTTATGCTGGCCTTTTCCTTTTTGTTCCTTATATACTGGTAAAACCTCTGAAAAAGTAAGCCTACAGTTTATGCTACTAAGTTCCTACTCCAAATTCTGGAAATCATTCTGCACAGAGAGTACATATTTTTGGGATAGATCATTCGTGCCAAGATGTACAATAGCATCAATCTCATAGTCCTTACTGGCTTTCTTGACTATCTTAAAAATACCGCCTCTTGTGTCTGCTGGCAGTAGCACCTGACAGACACCAGACTTCTTTCAAAACCTCCATATCCTTTCCTAAATTTACATCCCTTGTATTTGAATCACCAATCAGAATGTGGCTTCTCATTTTGGATGCCTTGCTCTTCTTGTGTGATTGGTGTGTAATACCCGATTCACACTTTCCCCTACCAAAACAAGTTCTTTGTCTCACACCATGATTCCCTGTTAATTTGAGTTATCATCATCACAACTATCTTGACCTGCCGCCTTAGTATCCCTATTAAGGTCAGCAAGGGCACTGTATCTATTATGCAGGGACATGGCGAAAGCTGTGTGTTTGTGGTTCACAGCTCTCATCCTGCCAGATCCCACATTTATCCATACTGCCTTTCTCCTGCAGGATCTTTGTGGTAGAGGGGGCTGGTAGAGTGGCAGCTCAATAGAGCATAATGGCTGAGTTGTATACCTAATTCTGCTTGAAGAGCATAGACTAGAGACTCCAGATAAGCAATCTGTCCATGTAGACTACTAATTTGTTTAGGACAGTATCCAAATTTGAAAAAAGTACCCCAAAAGACAGCTGCAAAACAAGTATTGCACTGAACTAAGCCAGACATTCTGAAATAAAATAAAATCGCAATCACAGGTACACTTACCCTGAATGTACTATTGCTGTTTTAGATATTTAGTTCAGCTACCTTGCTCCACTGGACTTTGTCTCAGTCCCCCTAAACTCACAGCAAGCAACTCTTCCCAGCAACCTCTGGGAAATTCCAATGCAATGCAGGTGCAACCAGCACCTCAGCTTTCAAGTGCTTACCTCCCTTCACTGGATGGATCTTCAGTGTTTCTGAACAGCCTTTCTACTCTTTAGAAACTTTGCATTTGTTGGCTTTCCAAGCAGAAAGCTAGCAAATGCAAGCTTTTCTTAAGAGTAGCAAAGCTGGAAAGAGCATATCTACCCTTTAAAAATGATCACATATGCTAGCTTTCTGGGTGGAAAGGTTGGAAAGAAGCTCAGATCTTCAAGATGCAAACTTCTTTTCTCTAGCCCAGTGCCAAAGTTCTCCTCTCCATGATATATGGGGAAAACTCTGGCACTAGCTTGGAGAAAAGTTTGCATATCAAAGATCTTTGTTTCTCCATCCTTCCCTGAAGGAGTCTCTCCCACCCTCGCACAGAAAGGAGGGGAAATCCTTCCACAGTGGCAGCAGCTTGCAACTTTCGTTGCCGGCTTCCATATTGAATTTCTGGTGAAACAAACATAGAAGATTGCAAATGGCAATCACATAATCATAGGACTCTTGACAAACAGGTTGCCAAATGCCTAAAATATGATCACATGGCCTTGGGGATAATTGGGGGATCATAATTTCAAGAACACATTGGAAGCTATTTTTTCTGAGTCTCACATAACTTTGAACAATCATTAAATGACCAATTGTAAGTTGAAGACTACCTCTGTCACCAGATGCACTGGTAGGATCTTTGAAAAAATAGGTGGCTGGTTAAACTGTAAGTAATAGAATGCTGGCCTAGATACTAGTTTTAACTCTAATTGCAAGTTTTAATATTTTTAAGAGATCATTTAATACAAAAAAACCCCACTTTTATTATATATTTATTTAGAGGGAAAAGAAAAATGTTCTCTGAAATTCATGCCAAATGCTTGAAGAGAAATTGTTTGCATTTGTTTATGAAAATACACAAAAGGCCACTTTCATGATTGACCAACTCTTTAAAATTCAAAAGCCGCATCCTAGAGATACACAAGGCAAAACCTTTTCTTCTGCAGTGGTGAGCAGGGAAGCCTGAACAGAAATTGTAATCCTGTTTGACTGAATACGTTTCCTGTACTTTACTTAATCCAGAACCTTAATTATGCTATTAGCAGTAGAAGTTCAACTCACCGGCTGATCACTAGCAATGGATGTTCCATATCCAGATGGTTCTCCAGGGGCCCAGTTCACATACTTCACAGCCTCAGATTCTACCCAGATAAATTCCTTCTTGGAATCATGGAGACCAATCCATATATCAAAGGTCACGTTTGGGAGAAAAGTTGTTATAAGAGCTGCAAGAAAGAAACAAAGGAGTGGAAAGTCCTTGGCATATGATTAGAGAAAAAGCAGTGAAGATAATGCTATTTTTCCAAGTGGAGCTAGGAACCCAAAAATTGAATTCCATTATCCACACTATTGGTCTTTCCCTGTTGTCCATAGTATAAAATTTGGTGTCCTCCCTGGCTTTGTTACCTGTTTAACTGCAGTCCCTGATCAACATTCAAGATAAAGAAGAATAAAGGCTAACAGATTTTATACATCATGAGCTTCATTGGATGGTGTCAGAATACTCTTTTAACACTGGTACTGCTAAAGGCATCAGTTCAGAATTGTTCAATATTATCTCCTCTGAATCTATGTTTGGAGCATAGCATAATCCATTGCCTTGGACTGAAATGGTACTCATCCTGTCACTTTTTGGCATATACTTCAGTAATAATGAGACTCTACAATTATTCTACAATGGTCCTGTTTAGACTAGTAAACAATATGTTAGTTTAATTATTCAACAGCTAAAATAAATGCAGTATTTATATCTTCAGAGCTTGCTTTCTTTATTACTACTTCAGATATTCCTGGAGTGAATTCTACAAAAGAAGTTCTGCCTACCAGAGAACATATCTGTTCTAAGCAGAATACAGAACATTTTGGGGATAAGACAGATATACATACTAAAGACTACTAACTATAAAGCTGAGAGGCAAAGAAAGAAACAGATGAATCTCTGGCTATCACACATTGGTTAAAAAAACAACTACTTTTTTCCTTCCTGTGAACTGGAAGATTATTTATCTTACTGTTCTGAAAATTCCAAATTGAAACTCATTTTCAGAAGGACAGCTGTTAAAAACTTCTAGTGTTGGAGCATTCACAGCTTCTGGAGGCAGGTTGTTCCACTGATTAATTGTTCTAACTGTCAGGAAATTTCTCCTTAGTTCTAGGTTGCTTCTCTCCTTGATTAGTTTTCATCCACTGCTTCTTGTCCTGCCCTCAGGTGCTTTGGAGAATAACCTGATTCCCTCTTCTCTGTGGCAGCCCCCGAGATATTGTAACACTGCTATCATGTCCCCCCTCGTCCTTCTCTTCATTAAACTAGACATACCCAATTCCAGCGACCGTTCCTTATATGTTTTAGCCTCCAGTCTCCTAATCATCTTTGTTGCTCTTCTCTGTACTCTTTCTAGAGTCTCAACATCTTTTTTACATTGTGGTGACCAAAACTGGATGCAGTATTCCAAGTGTGGCCTTACCAAGGCATTGTAAAGTGGTATTAATACTTCACATGATCTTGATTCTATCCCTCTGTTAATGCAGCCTAGCACTGTGTTGGCTTTTTTGGCAGCTGCAGCACACTCCTGGCTCATATTTAAGTGATTGTCCACTAGGACTCCAAATCCCTCTCACAGTTACTACAATTGAGCAAGGTACCACTTATACTATACCTGTTCATCTGGTTTTTCTTGCCTAAATGTAGAACCTCACTTTTTTCACCACTGAATTTCATTTTGTTAGATAGCACCCAATGTTCAAGTCTGTCAAGATCCTTCTGTATTTAAGCCTATCTTCTGGAGTGTTGACCATTCCTGCCAGCTTGGTGTTGTCTGCAAATTTGATGAGTTCCCCATCTATCCCTTCATCCAAATAATTGATGAAGATGTTGAAGAGCACTGGGCCCAGAACAGAGCCCTGGGGCACCACATTACACACTACCCTCCATGTAGATGCAGTTCCATTAAGGACTACACGCTGAGTACGGCCGGTCAGCCAGCTATGAATCATCTGGTGGTGATGCTGTCTAACCCAGGCTTTTCAACCAGTGGTACGGGTACCACCTGTGGTACATTGGCACCTGGCAGGTGGTACGCAACCATCCTAGAAAAGTGGTAGCGGGGGAGGGGAATGAGCTGAACTGGTGGTAGCACTGCACAAGCCTGAGCGAGAGATGGCTGGAGCCGCAGGGCTGTCAAGGCTCAGCGGAAGCACCAGGATCAATGCCACTTTCCAGCTGATTGGCGCTTCTTCGGGGCTGTCAGGGCTCAGTGGAAGCACCAAGATCAGCGCCAGGCTCCAGCTGGAGCTCGGCGCTGATCCTGGCACTTCTGCTGAGCCCAGAAGAAGCACTGATCAGCTGGAATGTTGCAGCATCTCCAGGGTCTTGTGATTTACATTCAGATGCTTGGCAACTGATTCATATTTATGACGGTCAAAGTGTCCCAGGGTCATGTGAAGTGACCAAAACCTGCTGCAACCACCCAGCAGATGGGTGGAATAAAAACCAAACACCCCCCACCCCACCCCCGCTGCCAATCCTCAACAGAAACGCTCACAACAATGAAAACCTCAAACAGGAGGAAGAGCGCGGCTGGGTGCGCAGGCGTCATGCTCGGCTGTGGCTTGGGGGGCACTTTTTTCAGTGCCATTGTAACTTTGAACAGTCATTAAGTGAACTGTTGTAAGTCGAGGACTACCTGTACTTTATCACTTTTTCCCTTTTTTTGGTCATCAAGTTTTTGACACCTTGCTAGGCAACTGGTGGTACTCGGATACTGCCATATCCTAAAAGTGGTACAATGGGTGAAAAGGTTGAAAAGCCCTGGTCTAACCCACATTTTTCTATCTTATCAAGTAGTAGGCTGCAGTCTACTTTATCAAATGCCTTACTGAAGTCCAAGTAAATTATATTCACAACATTCCTCTGGTCCACTAATTTTGTCACCTGGTCAAAGAATGCAATAAGATTTGTCTGGTATGATCTGTTTTTGACAAACCCATGTTGGCTTTTGGTAATGACTTTGTTTGTTCACTAATTCATTGCTTGATTATCTTTTCCAGAATCTTCCCAGGTATTGAGGTCAGGCTTATAGGTCTGTAGTTTCCTGGATCCATGTTTTCCCCTTTTTTGAAGATGGGAACTACATCAGCTCTTTTCCAATCCTCTGGTAGTTCTCCAGTGCTCCAAGATCAGTGGTTCTGAGATCACATCTGCCAGTTCCTTCAGAACCTTGGGGTGTATCCATCTGGTCCTGGTGATTTGAACTCATCTAGGGTGGACAGATGCTCACTTACCATTTTCTTGCCTATCTCAAATTGTGTTTCTAATCTGTTTTTTACGGTACTGTTTTTTCCCTTTGTGCAAATACGGATGCAAAAAACGAATTGAGTAGTTCTGCTTTCTCCCTGATGCTTGTCACTTTCTTGCCACTTTCTCCCACTAATGGACCAATCATTTCCTTAACTTTTTTCTTGTTTTTTACATTTTAAAAGCAGCTTTTTTTTGTTATTTTTGACTTTTGTCGCAAGCCTTAGTTCATTTTGAGCCTTAGCTTTCCTCACTTCATCTTTGCAGGCTCGGGCTATTTGCTGATATTCTGCCTTAGTTATGTGCCCCTCTTTCCACTTTTTATACTTGTCCTTTTTGTCTTTCAATTTATCAGAGAGTTCTTTATGCAGCCATGCTGGTTTCTTTTGAGAGCTGTTATTTTTCTTCTTCATTGGTATTGTGCTAGACTGGGCTTTTATAATCTCACTTTTCAAAATTTCTTAAAATTCTTGAGTTGTTTTCCGCATGAGGATTCTCATCCATGGGTGGCTTATAGTATACACCTAGGGCAATGTCATTGTTTCCCCTTTTATATTGACCCAAATGCATTGAAGACAATTTTCATCATTGTTATTCTCTACTTCTATAGAGATGTAGTTATTTCTTATAAAGAGAGCTACTTCACCTCCTCTTTTATTTGGTCTCTTTCTTTTAAATAATTTAAATCCCTCTAGCTATGTGTTCCATTTGTGGGTTTCATCCCACAAAGTTTCCATAATGGCAACGATATCATATCTGCCCTCATTTACCTGAATTTCTAGTTCACCCTGTTTATTGTTCATACTCTGTGTGTTGGTATATAGACATTTGAATCCTTTATGACTGACCCCTATGTTTACTTTTTACATAACTTGTAGAGGCAGCATTGTGTAGTTACAACACAAGTCCCACCCTTTTAGTATGCGCATGTAACTTCTCAAGTCATGTATAAAAAGAACTTGCATTGTGAGGTCACCACACTAGTTTCACTATCTGCCTCCCCACACCCTCCCCGCAGATATTTCACTAGGTGAATTTTCCCAACAAAAATTCCATTCTCCCTTATCAAAAGGATTTTTTTCTCTTGAGGAACTTTCCTATCTATTCTGGGACCAAAACCTGTCTACTTTTCAGAGGCAGGGCAAGCATCTCTTTGTGTACATGTACTCAAACACCCTTGAATAAAACCTACCTTGCTCAAGATGGTTTGAAATAGTAGCCAATATACCTCCCTGAATTTCACATTTCCGCTTTGCCTCCATCCATGTCACTTTTTCTTGACTGTAGATCCTAAAGCACTATACATGGTGTTTCACAACAGAGAGAAAAAATAAACAGGATGTGGAGGAATCTTTTTGGTTCAGATTTGTTTACAGTAATTCACTATTGCTCCTCTTATTATTCTTCTCTTTCTCTAAAATTGCTCAAGAGATAAAGTACACTTTTTTTTCTTGCAACAACCTAATGAGGTAGTATAGACCAACCAATAATGGCTGATGTCAAGTGACCATACTAGGATTTCAGTCAAAGTTTCATCAACCATAGTTTACCATTTTACTGCACTAGCTCCTTGACTCATTTATTCTTATATTCTAATCATTAAGTAGGGAAAGGGCAACTCTACTCAGACTTTCTGGAAACTGTTCTGATGGCAAGAATATGGATATTTGTGAAGAAATCGGTTTTAGTATTCTCCACAGAACTTATTTTTCTTCTCACATATATAGTTTAAAGAGAACACACATACATATAATTTCCTCTCATATTTTCCCATTAATGAATTATAATAGTGTGATCTGAGTACCTTATTAATAAAAGCATGCCACCCTTGGGCACAGCTGCCAGGAGTTGGTACAGGTAGCGACGGCAAGGAAGGCTGCACAGTGGTGGTGTTGGTACGCTTGCAAATATAAGGCAGAGCAGTGAGGCATCTCTGGTCACCCCAGTCCTCTGCAGAAGATCAAAAAGATGGTGATGAGCTTCATCTAAGGGATGCCAGAACACAGTGGCCCTCTCAAATAAAATGCTGCACTAATAAATGCTGCCAAGGCTTTGTATTAAAATTCTGGCAGAGAAAAACTCAAAATATGAAACTTAGGATGTTTCCTCTCTTACCAGCTGTGTCTGAAAAGTCATGTAGACCCTCATCACTAAAATAAAATATAAATGAAAGGAACTTTACACACATTTCCACATTAATGGTTAATTACATCCCAGTTGTTAAAAGGGGAATGGAAAGTGGGGAGAGAAGAAACTATAGTGCTTTAATAGCAATGAAATAAGAACAAAGACAGGAAAGAAGGCAACCACTACAAACATTTCTATGAGCTTGGTGCATTGCACAAAGTTTTTCCATGGTGGATAAGGGTACCAATTTTGGCACATGGCTAATTGAAAAAAAAGCAAGAAAAAAAGACTTCAAGTTTTCTGTTATGGGATTTTTAAAAAAAGAAAATCTATTTTTTTTCTTTACATTTGTTGAAATTGCTGCCTTTTTAAAAAAAAAAAATCTCCTATCTGGAAAGAATGAGATAGAAACTGCAGTTTTGCAAGAACTTCAGAAATGTTCATAACAAAGGAGGTCACCCATGTTGAAACTTTATATAAATAATTCAACAGTACCTAGAGAAGAAGAACGAATGAAATAAGCTCCATCATTTATATCTATTATGGGGATGTTTTCCTCATTCACTGAACTCATCAGTCCATGAGATCAGGGAGATGAATTGGGCAAGTACATGTAGTCCTCGAGTTATGACCACAGTTGAGCCCAAAATTTGTGTTGCTAAGTGAAAGATTGTTAAGTGAGTTTGCCCCATTTTATGACTTTTCTTGCCATGATTGTAAAATGATTCATTGCATTTGTTAAGTTAGTAACATGGTTGTTAAGTGAAGCTGGATTCTCCATTGACTTTGCTCATCAGAAAGTCACAAAAACTTATCACATGACTTCGGAGACACTGCAACCGTCATAAATATGAACCACTAGCCAAGCCTCTGGATTTTGATCACGTGACCATGGGGGATGCTGCAATGGTTCTAAATGTGAAAAACGGCCATAAGTCACTTTTTTCAATGCCACTGTAACTTTGAATGGTCACTAAATGAACTATTGCAAGTTGAGTATTACCTATACTGGCAGAACCTTTAAAGTCTTGGAGATGTTTTATAAGCTAGTATTAGTTAACTGCAATGGAAGACCCTTTCTCTCTGCATCTGGTAAAACTCATTTTGCCATGATGACTCATGTTCACTGCATCTGGGAAGGGGATATCTGCAGCTGGATGTGTCAAAAATTTCTTGACCTCCCCATCATAAGTCATTTAGATAGCCAGTACATTTATAAGAGATTGGACAAGATAACATTTAATTTTCTTGAGTATCTATGCAGCCAATTTCTTGGGAGTGAAAAATTAGCTTTGAGGAATTGGGGGAAGACTGCATCAAACAGAAACATTTGGAGAGAATTCCTGTCCACATAGAGGGTGGTTCCTGAGGAAATCCTCCATTATACTCTGTCCCCTTGATTTCCTCAGCTCTTGAAAGAGCTTAAAGATTAGCCCCATTATCTGAAGTAGTAGTAGTAGTAGTAGTTAGTTGCGAAGTCGTGTCCGATCCATCGCGACCCCATGGACAGCGTTCCTCCAGGCCTTCCTGTCCTCTACCATCTTCTGGAGTCCATTTAAGCTCACGCCTACTGCTTCAGTGACTCCATCCAGCCACCTCATTCTCTGTCGTCCCCTTCTTCTATTGCCCTCAATCTTTCCCAGCATTAGGTCCTTCTCCAGTGAGCCCTTCCTTCTCATTAGGTGGCCAAAGTATTTGAGTTTCAACTTCAGGATCTGGCCTTCTAAAGAGCAGTCGAGGTTGATCTCTTCTAGGACTGACCGGTTTGAACGCCTTGCAGTCCAGGGGACTCGCAGGAGTCTTCTCCAGCACCATAGTTCAAAGGCCTCAATTCTTTTGTGCTCAGCCTTTCTTATGGTCCAACTTTCACAGCCATACATTGGAACTAGGAAAATCATGGCCTTGACTATACACACTTTTGTTGGCAGGGTGACATCTCTGCTTTTTAGTATGCTGTCTAGATTTGCCATAGCTTTCCTCCCCAGGAGCAAGCGTCTTTTAATTTTTTGGCTGTAGTCCCCATCTGCGGTGATCTTGCAGCCCAGGAAGATAAAATCTGTCACTACACCCATTTCTTCCTCATCTATTTGCCAGGAATTGAGAGGGCTGGATGCCATGATGTTGGTTTTCTTAATGTTGAGTTTCAAGCCAACTTTTGCACTCTCCTTCTTCACCCGTATCAAGAGGCTCTTTAGTTCCTCTTCACTTTCTGCCATTAGAGTGGTATCATCTGCATATCTTAGGTTGTTTATATTTCTCCCGGCAATCTTAATTCCAACTTTTGATTCATCTAGCCTTGCCTTTCTCATGATGTGCTCTGCATATAAATTAAATAGGCAGGGTGACAGAATACAGCCTTGCCAGACTCCTTTCCCAATTTTGAACCAATTGGTGGTTCCGTGTCTAGTTCTCACTGTTGCTTCTTGACCTGCATATAGGTTTCTCAAGAAACAGATGGTCTGGTACCGCCCTGAGTCCTATGGGAGAAGGGCGGTATACAAATTAAATTATCTATCTATCTATCTATCTATCTATCCATCTCTTTAAGAACTTGCCACAATTTGTTGTGATCCACACAATCAAAGGCTTTAGCATAGTCAATGAAGCAGAAGTAGATGTTTTTCTGGAACTCCCTAGCTTTCTCCATGATCCAACATATTTTGGCAATTTGATGTCTAGTTCCTCTGCCTCTTCAAAATCCTGCCTGTACTTCTGGAAGTTCTCGATCCACATACTGCTGGAGTCTAGCTTGTAAGATTTTAAGCATAACTTTACTTGCATGTGAAATGAGTGCAATGGTGTGATAGTTTGAACATTCTTTGGCATTGCCTTTCTTTGGAATTGGAATGTAAACTGACCTTTTCCAATCCTGTGGCCACTGTTGAGTTTTCCAAATTTGTTGGCAAATTGAGTGTAGCACTTTTACTGCATAGTCTTTTAAGATTTTGAATAGCTCAGCTGAAATACTGTCACCTCCACTAGCTTTGTTGTTGCTCAGCTTTCCTAAGGCCCATTTCACTTCACATTCTAGGATACCTGGCTTGAGGTCAGTGACCACCCCATCGTGGTTATCAGGGACATTAAGCTCATTCTTGTATAGTTCTTCTGTGTAATTTTGCCATCTCTTCTTAATCTCTTCTGCCTCTGTTAGGTCCCTGCCATTTTGGTCCTTTATCATGCCCATCTTTGCATGAAATGTTCCCTTCATATCTCCAATTTTCTTGAAGAGATCTCTGGTTCTCCCTATTCTATTGTTTTCTTCTATTTCTTTGCACTTTAAGAGGGCATTCTTACCTCTCCTAGCTATTCTCTGGAATTCTGCATTCAATTGGGTGTATCTTTCTCTTTCTCCCTTGCTTTTCACTTCCCTTCTTTCCTCAGCTATTTGCAAAGCTTCCTTAGACAGCCATTTTGCTTTCTTGCATTTCTTTTTCTTTGGGATGGTTTTAGTTGCTACCTCTTGTACAATGTTGCGAACCTCCGTCCATAGTTCTTCAGGCACTCTGTCTATAAGATCTAATTCCTTAAATCTATTTGTCACCTCTACTGTATATTCATCAGGGATATGATTTAGTTCATACCTGAGTGGCCTAATGTTTTTCCCTACTTTCTTCAATTTAAGCCTAAATTTTGCGACGAGAAGTTCATGATCTGAGCCACAGTCAGCTCCTGGTGTTGTTTTTACTGACTGTATAGAGCTTCTCCATCTTTGGCTGCAGAGCACATGGTCAAACTGATTTCTCTGTTGACCGTCTGGTGATGTCCATGTGTAGAGCCATCTCTTGGGTTGTTGGAAAAGAGTGTTTGCTATGACCATCGTATTCTCATGACAAAATTCTATCAACCTGTGCCCTGCTTCATTTTGTATTCCAAGGCAAAACTTGCCTGTTATTCCAGTTATCTTTTGGCTTCCTGTGTTATGCCATATTCCAACTGGCCAAAGACGCAGTAAAGGGAATCAAGAAATAAATCAATTATCATTTGAAAATGTCAAGCAATTCCATGAATATCTACTACTAACCTCTGCTAGCTGTCATGTACACACACTTCCTTTCTTTGTTAATAAGTCGTGGTTTACCAGGTGCCCATGAGATGAAATTCAACAGAGAATCATCAGACCACCTGGAGGAAGTAAATGGTACAGAGGGAGGCGTTCATATTTTAAGCAAAGGTGAATCCAAGAAAGAAAAACATTTCTAGAGCAGTGACAGGTGTTAATGAGGAACACAGAAAACTCACCGAAACCGTCCATCGTTCTCATAGGTGTTTAATCCAATCCACCAATGTTCTTCCTGACCTCTTGAAAACTGGTCAAGGATTGTATATTTTGGCATTAGAAATAGCATCATGAGTAAGAGGGAGAATGAGAATAAAAGAACTAATCATTTCTCTCCAATGTCAAATTACCTGTTGTGACTAAATATGCCATCCTGGGCCTCCTCCTTTCATTATTCTAGTTTTTGATGAAACATGGCTCACGTACTACTAAATAATTGTTGACACTGCAGTCTTCAATCACAATTCCACCAATCTCTCTTTAGGGTTATTAATTCTCTATTACATTTTCAAGGATCAAACATGCTTTTATATAACCTTACATATACTGCCATGTATATTCATGAAGAAAGGCAGAATAAAATATCAATGTAAGTTGATCTGCAAATGCACACAAATCTACCCAGATCCATCCTAAGTAAGGCTTCAGTCCCCATATAACTTACCTATACATGAAATCATAACTGCACACAGCAAGCTCTCTTATATAAAAAAAATGTTTTGTCTAGCCCGGTATTTATTAAAAAAAAGCACTTTACATCACCTAAAAAAACCATATTATATCTGGCAATCTTCCATAGTTTGGCATTCTTCAGATGTTTTGAATTAAAACTTCCACTCAGTTCAGCCAGCTTGCCCACTGATCTGGCTAAAGATGATGGGGGGTTTTCGTTGAAGCCATCTAATATGCACCTAGTGTAGAAGGCTAAATTATACAGTTTAATAGGATCACTTCATGGCTGAAAGTTACCTAGCCCTTCCATTAGGAAAATTATATTAGTATTAGGATCATTCCAACAGCATGGTCTCATTAGTGCTATGTTGTTTGTAGGTACTTTTAAAGATGGAATAAAAATAATTGTGTATATTAATCCTTAATCCTTCAGCTGAAAATGCCAGAAACTGAATCTGAGAACTTGTATATTCAAAACATATGCTCATTTACCAACTGCACTGGAATATAAAGTACTGTAACACATAAATGGGAAAATAGTTTTCTTTTTTAACTTAAAATAAGAAGTCAACATCACAATTGGCTGTGTTTGAATTAAAATATGCATACACTACACTCTGAACACTTACATTTATTGGACTCCATTACATTTATATAGAAAAAGACTGTTAAAAACAGAAGATGTAGTAAGGATAATGCTTCTTTAAAACATATGTTTCCACAATATTTTCTATTTACCAAGTTTGGCAAGAAAGTGGTGGATTATATAAATAAAATTGTGCAACAAAAACTAAAATTTTTGCAGGATAATATTCTTTTGAACTATATACCTAGTACATGGAATTTGGACGACATAAATGGATTCCCTACACTCTTACTTGGCTAAGACTGATACTTCACCATTGGAAAGATAAAGGTATGGTCTCTTTCAGTCAACATATTGAAAATGTGTTATACTTGCTACTTACAAGCAAATTGCTTATAGATGTAGACTTATATAGACAACTATAATTAAATATAGCATTCAGCTTCCAGTTTTACACAGTTAGCGCGACAACCAAGGGATTGCATTGCTCCGTACCCTATGGCTGATTTCTCTCTGCTAGGGGACCCTAAATGGGCCTGAAGTCGCCCCAGAAAGGCGACAAAGAAGGAGGAGTGCCCCGTCAACCATGGAGAGATGGCAGTTGATCCGGTTGGCTGGGGAAAGCCTCCAGAAACCAGCAGAAGAAAGGCTAGCTTCATTCCAGAGTCTATCCCAAGCTACAAGCAGCCAAAGCCAAAAAGCACTAATTTAAGCTTGATTGTAAACAACATGATTGGAACTGGGTAAGAACATCGATTTTCTCACTTCTATTTGATAATTTATTTCCTGGGGACAAAAACACCAAGAAGCAAAATCCTTCGAAAGTGAAAAGGAGGGGGAGCTTTGTCCCACCCTCCCACACAAGGAAGTGGTGAATTAAACTTTTATGGGGGACAGAAATATATTGAAATGAAATGAATATAAGATTTAAATCTGGATAAGTTTGAAATTGGTGGAATTTGTTAAGATTTTCTTTTCAAAAAATTATTGAAAACAGAAGAAAGTAATTGTTTGTTTTGAAAATTGAAAAAAACAAACTGGTGCTGACAACTAGTGGTGGAGGAAAATATACCACTGTAGTTGCTTTAGTACAGGAACTGACAGAAAGCCCAGTAAAAGACCTGGAGGCGGCTTGGTGGAAGAACGGGTAGGCCTTTTTGGCTGGATGGTGGGGGGGTTGGGTGGGGGTTGGTGGGGGAGGAGGGGCTGTTTAGTCTGCCCCTGCCCCCCCCGCCACTACCCATTCCACCATCCCCACCCATACCACCATTCCCACCATTCGCACCACTCCACCCCACTGTCAGGACGAACGATAAGGACATCTACTGCTGCCACTCCTTGCCCCACCTTCCATTTGTCTCAGCCCTCTGAACTAAACCAACGTCTAGGAGGACTGTTTTCCCCCCTGTCTTGGCTTTTCTGCTGTGGGACTCTGGACTCTGTGAACGGACTGGGATGTACCTCAGGTCAGAGCTGCTGGCCCTGCGCGACTCCCCCCTCGCGCAGGTATGGCCCAGTTTAATCTTAGGGGCCGGCCTCGATGACGGGGTATGGAGCCCCGAGAGGTGGTATGCAGCCAAAAAAAGAGACCTAAGGAAGTTGAAATTGAGGGCTTTTTTAAAGGGGTTTTTTAATAAATTTTT